TGCTGCTGTGGAAGTTTTGTGGTCACACACTGAATGGATTGAATGCTGCTGTGGAAGTTTTGTGGTCACACACTGAATGGATTGAATGCTGCTGTGGAAGTTTTGTGGTCATACACTGAATGGATTGAATGCTGCTGTGGAACTTTTGCGGTCACACACTGAATGGATTGAATGCTGCTGTGGAAGTTTTGTGGTCATACACTGAATGGATTGAATGCTGCTGTGGAACTTTTGCGGTCACACACCGAAAGAATTGAGTGTTGTTGTGGAAATTCTGTTGTCACAAGTCTAATGCGGTTGTCATTTGTTAGTTTTGGAACTTTGTCATAGAGTTACACTAGTGTTACCTGGTTAGTTTTGGAATTTTTGTAACTGCAAATATATATAATGACTGTTGCTTTCGAATTCTGAAAGACATACAGCCTCAGGTCTACACTGGCTAGCTCAGAAAATTTGATAGTTACGAAATCTATAATGACTGTGGTTAGTTACCTAGTTCTGGAAGTTCTGTAGCCACAGGTGTACACTAAATAGTTCTGGGATTTTGGTATATTAAAATCTAGAATAACTATGGTTACTTAGTTCTGGAAGTTCTGTAGCTACTGGTCTACACTAAATAGTTCTGAGATACCTAGTTCTGGAATTTTTAGTTTTCAGACTTTACTAGCTGTGGTTATATAGTTCTGGATTTTTTGTAGTTTCTGATCCATATTGACTATGGCTACCTAGTTCTGAAAGTTCGGTAGCCATAGGTCTACACTAGATAGTTCTGGAGTTTTTTACAGTTTCTGATCTATATTGACTGTGGCTACCTAGTTCTGGACGTTCGGAAGCCACAGGCGTATATTGATTGCTAACTCTTTTTAATGTCAAAATTTTGTATCAACATTCACATACGATTTTGTCTGGCTAGTTTTAAATGTTTGACAGCCACAAGAGTATACTGCATTAAAACTTATTTATTACCATTAAGTAAGCACATGTTAACGTACAACGTTTTACTTTTATTGCTTCATCAGGCACTCAGCCCTGCAAATATAATAAGCAAAGAAAAGAACGAACAAACAGTGTAGATTTCAATAAGTATTTAAGCTTCCTTGACAAAAGAGTAAGACGACAAAGATATGGTTGTAATTTTAACGTCATTATTAAAGCTGAGGATGGAATCCGTAAGTCAGCTTTAAACTTGTCTTATCAGTCTTCTAAAATTGTAACCATGAAGTCTTTGGCTTCATTAAAGAGAGAATTGTAGTGTTTACAGTGTAAAAAACCAGTAAAAACATTATTCGGAAGTTTTACACATCGTGTGTGGTAAAATGGCCGCAGAATACCTCACAGAGTCAATTGCGTAAACTTGTATTGATATTAAAGACTTTGTTTGTTGTACAGCAAAACCATATTGTCATTTGCTGTTCCACCATGGGAGTTCAACCCCGGATTTTAGAGTTATAATTTGTAAACTTACCGCTGTCCCACCAGTGGACTACTAAAGACTTTGCTGGTACCAATTTAAATATATTAATGTGGCTTAAACTTCTTAAAGAAATAAAGTAAAATCAACCGGACATGTAACCACTACAGTTATACAATTAAAGTGAGGAATATTCACACTACTCCAGAACTATACTGTTAAACACTCAAAACTGGAAAAACTTCGACAACATGAACATTTCAGTTGTGAGATTAAGAAAGAACGAAGAAAAATAACCTTCCAACAGATCAGATGCTTGAAGAACACTAGAAAAACTCCAACAATATAAACATTACAGTTCTATATTTAACCACATGAAAAAGTGCTCTGGAGTATCATTACGTTACAAGTATGTGTGTTTTAAGAACATTTACAAAACTCCAACAATGTAAACACTACAGTTCTATATTTAACAACATGAAAAAGTGCTCTGGAGTATCATTACGTTACAAGTATGTGTGTTTTAAGAACATTTACAAAACTCCAACAATGTAAACATTACAGTTCTATATTTAACAACATGAAAAAGTGCTCTGGAGTATCATTACGTTACAAGTATGTGTGTTTTAAGAACATTTACAAAACTCCAACAATGTAAACATTACAGTTCTATATTTAACCACATGAAAAAGTGCTCTGGAGTATCATTACGTTACAAGTATGTGTGTTTTAAGAACATTTACAAAACTCCAACAATATAAACACTACAGTCCTATATTTAACCACATGAAAAAGTGCTCTGGAGTATCATTACGTTACAAGTATGTGTGTTTTAAGAACATTTACAAAACTCCAACAATATAAACACTACAGTCC